GCAGATGAGTAGCTGATCTGCTTTAGGGTTTAGAGTTCCCAAAGAGAAGGAATCATAGGTCTGAACCAAAAATCATAATAATAATGAGGCAGTTAGGTGACTCAGTGGATAGAGCCTGGGCCTGGAGTCAAGAAAACATCCATTAAAATTTATACACTAGCTGTGTGAGACACTTGTCAAGTCACTTGACCTGTCTGCCTCAGTTTCTTCATCTGTAAAATGTGCATGTGGCACCTGTTTGTGAGTACCAAATGAGATAATATTGATGAACTTTATTTAATAAAAATGCCAGCTATCATGATGCTATGGTAGTTACAGACACACTCTTGTGGGAAAGGGGAGGACCCGGTGACTGAGTCACAGAACCAGAAGGCATTTATTTGTTAGGTGGGTAGAAGTAGGATTTTCTGAGAAGGGCCTAAGGCACTTTCTGTAGAAACCTGCCCCCATCCCTACCCTCTGGCTACAAACAAGCCAAAACCTAGTCTAATTCTGCCTGTGGTGAAGGGTTTCAGATCTGCTATCTCAGTAGGTCACTGCCAATTGAAATTAAAATCCCCAACAGCATGAAATGACAGAAAGATGAGAAATCACAAATGATCTGAAGCAAACCAAAATCAATCACCTTGTTCTGGGCAGTCTGGTTCAGAACAGCTCCTCTTACCTTGGAGACAGGCAGGGCTAAGAGGCTCTCACATGTTCAAAACCATAGTCTGTTTCTCAAGAGAAATGGAGCTCCCAGGTCTCATGTGGGAACACAGGGTTGGGGAGTGGTTGGTATTTTTATAGCTCCTTGGGGCAGCAAAGCTTTGGACTGGGAGCCAAGAGACCAGAATCATCTATCTCTCTTTCTCTCTCTTTTCCTCCCTCCCTTCCTCTCCGCGCCCCCCCTCACTGTTTTACCTTAGGCAAGTCTGTTTCTTAGTACCCCAATTAGCTCATTTGTAAAAATAAAAGTGAGGTCATACGCCCCCCAGTGCTTCTTGGCAAGACTGACAGCAAGAAAGTTTGTTTGGTGCTTTGATTCTTCTGAATGAAGAACTCAGGAGTTACACGAATGTGTTGGGGTTATGAATAAACATATGAACATAAGTATGTATGTCCCTTGAAGTATAACTCCTTACATTCTCCATCAGAATTACCCTGCAGGTCACAGGGTCATCAAATCTGGAGCTCCTATTCACAATCTACCTACTCCAACCCCTCTTCCTTCATTGTACAGATGAGGAAACTAAGGCCCAAGAAGTTTAAGTGACTTGGTCAAGGTGGTAAGTAGCAGGACTGGGATTTGAACACAAATCCTTGGACTCTGGTCAATGTTCTGTTGCTTATCACACAAATGCAAATTATTATGCTTTTTCCAATAATTGCTTTATGACGCATCACACGTGAACAAGATCAAACTGATCTTCCTAAATTGTAGATTTGACCATGTAAACCCCACTTTCTCATTCAATGAACTCCTATGGCTCCCTATTACCTCTAAGATAAAACTAGAAGATCCTCTGGCATTTGTGGTTATTCAGTTGTTTTTCAATCACATCCAACTTTTCATAACCCCATTTGGGATTTTTTTGGCAAAGATACTGAAGTGGTTTGCCATTTCCTTCTCCAGCCCACATTACAAATGAGGGAACTGAGGCAAACATGGTTAAGTAACTCAACCAGGATCACACAACTAGCAAGTGTCTGAGGCAAGATTTGAACTTAGGAAGATGCCTTCCTGATTCCAAGCCCAGTGCTCTATCCACTGCACTACCTAACTGCCCTCTCTGACATTTAAAATCCTTCATAACTGGCCCTCTCCTACCTTTTCTAATGTCTAATATTTTACTCCCTTCCATGGATTCTGACCCAATGAGACTGACATCCTTGCTGTTCCTCACACAAGACACTCCATCTCCCAACTCCACGCATGTTCACAAACCATCCCCCACACCTCAAATTCTCTCTCTGCTCACTTACCCCTCCCGGCTTCCCTGGCTTCCTACAGGTCCCAGCTAACATCTCAAGTTCTACAAGAAGCCTTTCCTAAGGCTTTCCCTCTGCTGATTATCTTCAACTTATCCTGCACATAGTTTGTTTGCATATATTTCTATGCATGTTGTCTCCCCCATTAGATTGTGAACTTTTTGAGAGCAGCGACTATTTATACCTTTCTTTATATCCCAAGGCTTAGCACAGTACCTGGCACATAGCAGGTGCTAAATAAATGCTTTGTTGTTGACTACTCACATTTATGTAAATCTTGAATATAACATGGTGGTCAAAATCCCAGCGGTCAGTGCTTATTAAGTTATAGTGACCACACACACACACACACACACACACACAGACAAGCCTTCCAAAGATCCTGGACTTCAATCCAAAGATTTGTACCCGTACCCACCCTCGGAAGGACACACTCTTCAGCTTAGAATGCTGATCTCTGCCCAAGACGGCTTTGGAACCAAAGCTTTGAACTCCAGGCAGGATGATGGTGTGGACCTTGAGTGTTTATGAAGGACTTCCTCAAGATAGAAATGGGGACTATGAATTGCCATTTCCCCTGTACGACTTGGCACCCTTCCCTGCATCAGAACTTCAAGAGAAAGAGCCTGGACAACTGTCAGAGAAGCAGGGAGCTCTCCCTAGCTGTCAGCTGCATTTTGACTCAATGCCTCTGACCATCCCAAGACCGCCAGCTCCAGGTGTGGGTCCTTTGCTGTTGTTAACTTTCTGCTCATCAAGAGACACAAACTGATGCAAAGTGAAGTTGGTAGAACCAGGAAGTCAACATCCACAAGAACTATGAGAACGTATATGTAAGGAGCAACCATACTCAAAACTAAATACCGTGTGATTATAATAACCAAGCTCGTCCCTGAACAAGAGGCATGAGAATATACTTTCCTTCTCTGCAGACATGGATCAGCTCTGAGTGTGAAATATATAACATTCCATATAATAGGATGTATTATACAGAATATAATTATATTAATTGGAATATAATTGCATATATATTCCATATAACATAATACATAACAAACACAATATCAGATATCTGGTTCCTGCCTTTTTTATTTTTTTGTTTTAAGGGATGCTCTCTCAGAAAGAACAGGAAAGGACATATTGGACAAAGAGGTGATATAAAAATATGAAAACAAAAAGCTACCAATAATTTTTTTTAAATTATACTCTTAAGTAAGGGAAAGAGATAATTGCTCTTCCCAGAAAAAGCTATCTATACTCACTGTCCCTACTTCTTCTCCTCTCACTCAAGCCTTTGCAATAATCTAGCTTCTGACCTCATTATCCAACTGAAACTGTTCTTTCCCAAATCACGAACAATTTCTTAATTACAGCTGCCAAAGTTTTTATTTTCCTAAAGCCCAGGTCTGAAGATGTCACTCTTTTCCTCAATGATCTCCAGTGGCTCCCTATTGCCTTGGATCACATATAAAGTGTTTACCTTTTAAAAGCCCTTCACAACCTGGTCCCCTCCTATCTTTCCTGCCTTGTTATATATTACTCCCTCTCCTGGACTCCAAACTAATCCAACTGGCCTTCTCTCTATACCTCACACACAACACTCCATCTGCAGCCCCTCTGTCTTTGTTTGCACTGCATCCTCCATGCTTGGAATGTGCTCCTTTCTCACCTTTGCCTGAAGGAATTCCACCCTTTCTTCAATAGTCAGCACAAGCACTAGCTTTTCGATGAAGCCTTCCCTAATCCCTGCAAGGAATCAGGATCTCCCACCTAAACTCCCTGGTTCTTACTAACTTGGTGTGTGTTAATTAACATTGATTCCCTTTATATTTAGTCTGTGTATGCCTATAGATGTACTTGTTTTCTCCCTCATTGGAATGCAAATTCCTTACAATAGGGATTGTTTATTCTTTGGATTTGCATCCCCAGTGCCTATGACAGTATCTGGCACAGAGAACGTGATTAATAAATGCTTGTGGGATGTGTGATCCTCTGATGACAGGCCCTAGTTCCTTCTCAGAGCTGTGATAGGGACATTGGTCTGAGTAGGGACTTGGTCTTTTCTCTCCTTTGCTTCCCTAGCACCTAACCAAGGGCTTGGCTTATAGAAGTACCTGATAAATGTTGAGAGTTAAATTAGGTACCTCCCCACTAATCTGGAAAGTCAGCTTTCTCAGGAAGCTACCTGCTCTGTCACCTAAGGTTACCATCCTTGCGGGCTCTGCTTAGATGATCAAGGGAGATCGAGAGGATTCCTCCAAGTCGTGAGCCAGCCTTTGAATCTGGTAAGCTGGTCCTAACCTAGTAGCAACTGGCCTCTCCATCTCTTCCTGAGAATACATGGGGTGTCCCTTCATCCCTTCTGCTATCTAGAGCAGTGTGGACCAAATACAGCAGCCTCTCTGGTATGACTACAGGTGGATGGGCCAGGCAGAAGGAAGGACAGGGAGCCCACATCCAGAGAATGTCACGTACTTCACCTGATAGCATCACAGGTGGATGGTTTTTTCCACCGATGAAAAAAAAAGGCAAGGGTGTTTTTAAAACCAGCTCCAACAGGCAGAGCAATTATTCTACTCTGGTCAGCCTACTCTACAAACTCAGAGAAGAGGCATTTATCAGCTCTGAGGCTTGTTTACCTAGATCTCTGGCAGATAGGTGCAAGGAATCACTCTTCCTTATCCAGGTGCAAGGAATCACTCTTCTTTGTTCAGAAGCTAATCCAGTACATAGAAGCAATTGCTTTAATTTTTAGCACTTAGCCTGACGCTTGGCCCAAAGAAAGTGCTTGCCAAGTTGACTTAAGCAACACAAGTGTTGAATTCTTTGGGATCGTTACTAAGATGTTGGTCCCCTGGGCACACTGAATGGAAACAGGCTGTGATGTAAAGTGATGACAAAGGCACAATGAGGTAGACGGACCTTTTCTGTTTGCTTTTAGGGGGGTTGGGTGCTAAGAGAAATTGCCTATGAATAAGTTCTTGAGATAAGTAAGCATGAGTTTGAACAGCTTAAATAGAAGGAGTTACCTGAAGGTGGATTTTTGCCAGTCTTGTACTGGACTCTCTTCTATCACGTCTTGGATCAGAGGGGAGTTCTGCCGATGTGCCTTGGAGTAAGGGAGGGTTCCCATATGGCTAAATGCATCAGAAGACCTTATGGGAACAGGTCCTTTTTTCTTTCTCGGTAAGGTCCCATGTATAGACACATCCTGATAGGCATCGGAGCGGGGTTCAACAAGGGGGGACTTGCTGCTCAGAAGGTCCATGGAAGAAGCCAGGGGGAACTGATGATTCGCCTGCATGTTTCTGGGAAGGCTTGCAAATTTTCCAGCAGCCATCATTCTCAGCCCTAAAGAGGATGAAAAAGGGGAAAGCTGAGGTAATGACATGTCTGGACTTCCTGTGCACAAAATGAAATAGCTCCACCATTTCACAGAATCATAGATTTAGGGCTGAGAGAGACTTTTGAGGTCACCAAGTCCAACCCCCCCTCATTTCACAGATGAGGAAACTGAGGCAAACAGGCTAAGTGACTTGCCCAGGTCACACTGCTAGTAAGTGCCTGAGGCAGTATTTGAACTCAGAACTTCCTGATCCCAGGTGCAGAACCCTATCCACTAACATAAATAATCTATTTTAGAAGCTTCAAAAAGTAGACAAATTATCGAACTTAATTGCAGCCACAGAAGTAAGGACTTAGCTATACCTCTAAGTTTTATATCTCCTTTGTGATCTTACAGAAAAGTTCTCTTCCATAGAGGCAACACAGGATAGCAGACAGAAAACTAGATATGGAATCAGGAAGGCATGAATTAAAAAACGATCGTCTGACATATTACTGGCTGTGTGATTCCAGGTAAGGAATTAAACCCCAATAGAGCCCTGGCTAGAAATGTTTTTACAAACATGTCCCCTGGGAAGGAAGTGGATCCCTGGATGAAGCCTCATGCCCTCATGGATATCATGGGGCAAAACCTTATTTACCCCATGATCATTACAACTCTGTCTCCAAGCTTCAGTTTCCTCATCTATAAAATGAGTATAGTAATATCTCTACTACTTACTGCAAAGAGTTAATGTGACGGCCCCAGGAAGTTTGATTTTATATATATATATTTTATATAAATTATTTTATACAATATATTTATATATTTTCTATGCAATAAATATATTGATATATTATAAAAATATATTGTAACTATATAATATAAAATATAAATAGTATATGTAAAATATATTTATTATATAATCTATTAAATATAAATACATTAAATATATGTTTTATATCTATAAACTTCCTTGGGCTTCATGCCAATCCTATGAGGTAAATAGTATACATATGTGTGTGTATATGTATATACACATAGGTACATAGACACACATTTATACACATATATCTATTCATGTATGTATTTATATATATATATATATAAATCACTTCACAAACATTAAGTATTACATAAATGTCATTTATTATTAGCTGGAATAGTAAGTAGACAGTAGAACCTCCATTGGATCAGGCAAAAGATTTCAGGCTCTTTAGCTAAGACCAAATCACCCAGAGTATGTGTTCAGGAAGACAGAAAGTCAAAGCTGAGTGGAAGAACACGACTGAAGAAAATCCATCACAGAAAAAAGCAAAGCTTATATCCTAAGCACGTTAGAAAAACCAGTTCACATATTTCTATGCATCCAAAAGATAACGGCAGCAGGAGATGACTGGAATTCTTTGGCCATCAGAGTGACTTCATTGGCAGACTCACCCTGCAGTTAAGCTACGCAGGGGGAGAGGGCAAAACTTTCTTTAGTGGAGCCTGATGCTTGTAAATAAATCAGTGCACTCTAATTAATGCAGACAGACTGGGGTCAAGGTTCAGGAAGTAAGCTGCTGTCATACAGATCTATGTACAGCTGGGCTTCAGCAGAAAGCTGGGGTGAGTGGGGGAGGTGGAGAGGAGACACAGGGAACCCGGTGACCATTTTAGCCCCAAATCCCACCACTAGGATTGTGTCGGCAGTGCCACTGGCAGCTAAAGACCCTATCAAGGAGAAAAAAGATGGAAACACAGAGAAGAAAGGAAGAAGAAAAAGAAAGAAGGTGGGGGAAATGGGAGGAAGAAGAGAGTGAGAAAAGAATAAAAAATTAGTGGGACACCTGGTGGTTTGCAAAAAAAAAAAGTCACTGTTTGCCCAAGGCATTGATGCTCCAGGCCCACAACCACTGAAATATGCAGGAACAAAACTCAGGGAGACCTAATTTCTTTGAGGCTGCACTTAGGACATAGCTGAGGTGGGTTAATAGAGGTATGCTATCAGTATTGAAAATACTTGTTATCGTAAAAGATGACATAGAGAAAGGGAAAGGTGGTGTGGGATAGTAAAGTAAATGCAAAGCTGGCCTGCAAGTCAGGGATACCTGGGTTCAGGTTCTGTCTCTGACACATACTAGCTGTGTAACCCTTGCCAAGGGGCAGCTAGGGGGCACAGTGAATAGAGTGCTAGGCTTGGAGTCAGAAAGACCTGAGTTCAAATCTGGCCTCAGATACTCACTAGCTGTGTGACCCTCAGCAAGTCACTTAAACCTCTTTTTCTCATTTTCCTTATAGGTGAAATGAGCTGCAGAAAGAGTGCAAACCGCTTCAACATATTTGCCAAGAAAACCCCAGATGGGGTCACAAAGAGTCAGACATGACTGAAAAATGACTGAATAACTGAAACCCTTGCCAGGTCACTTCACCTTTTAGGGCTCCAAACAACTGTCAGAGTAGACACTATTCTGCATTGCTAAGGAGGGTCATCAGGAAGAGTTCCTCAAGAAATCACCGATCTTATCTGCCCAAAGGATAAAGTAGAAGGCCTCCCAATACATTGAATGGCCCCTCTGCTGAGGATTCATGAAAGGACTCATGCAAGATAAGTGGCTGTGATCTACATCATTGGAGGCAGTGTCTCCATTAATAAACAGACCATTGGAGTCTGTCTGTGGATCTTTCAACATTGCCAGTGAGGCCTGATCTCATCTGAGTGGGCTTCCCTTTCATCTGGTCCAACAGTGAAGGTGGCCTTCACAAGGGGTGGAAGCCAGATGTAGAGATAGAAAGTTACTGACACATGCCTGCATTCACTCACATAACCTAAACCATTATGTGTGTGTATGTGCACGTACATACACACACACACACACACACACACACCATTTAGCAGTGTCTGATCAGATTTAGCTGGGATAGTCTTCAAAAGACAAACACACAAGTCGATCATGGGGTCTGTCTTTGAAGCCCTTCCGACTTGATGTGATCTGTCAGGGTACTCCATGGCCTTTGGGAAGCCACAGTCCTTTCCACTCCATGATGAAGAAGAAATAAGGGGGTTGGTAATGGAAATTTGTTACACACACACATACACACACTACTTTGACCCTGAGCCTAAATGTCAACAAACATTTAAGTGTCTACTTCTGTACTAGAGACCAACGTAGTGCTTAGCATGCCCTACGGGGACAAAGACAAAAATGAAATGGTCCCTGCCCTCAGAGAGCTTAAATTCTCATGTGAACGATAAGAGTAACTGAATATGATACATACGGAGTAGATGGATGGTAAGCCCAAAGGGAAGGCTCCAGCAGCTGAAGGAACCAGAAAGAAAAAACAGAAACTTCAGTGGGGGGAAGGGAGGAGAATAAGTATTTCTATAGCATCTCCTAAGTGAAGCACTTTACAAATACCATGTCCCAGCACAAGCTAAGGCTTTTAAAGCAACATTTGAGAATTATAAGCACATACAAAAATTTAGGCAAATCCCCTGAAAACTGAAGTTATGGAACCATTAATCTCCTAGGTGTCAGATTGCCTTGTGATATGGGCATGTTAGCAGACTGGCAGCGTGGCCTAATGAAAATAACAGGAAGCTAGAAACCACTGTTTGGGTACAAATTAATTCACCATTTGGACCTATTTTTTCCTCTCTAAAGTGAGGGGGTTGGACTATTACCTCTAAAGTCTTTTCAAGTCTTAGAATTCTAATTGTTAGCATTGCTAACACCATTACTTCCCCCCAAAAAGTACTTTAAGTACGACAAAGAACCCCGCCCCTCACCCTGACCACCTTTTTATTTAGAGAGATGGAGTAATAATATTAATAGGGCAACATTTATAATAGCACTTTAATGAGCTTTAGATATATTTTCTCACTTGGTCCTCACAACAACCCCGGGAGATAGGTGATATTATTATTCCCATGTTAAAGATGAGGAAAATGAGGTCACAGAGTTGCTAAGTATCTGGGGCAGGATTTGAACTCAGGTCTTTCTTCAAGATGCCACCTTGCTACACAGTAGAGATGGTCTGGACGTGGAATCAAGAAGACTTGAGTTTGAATCCTGTCATAGACATTTACCGGCTATGTGAATCACTTAATCACTCTCAGTCATAATTGAGCAGTTGGTCTCAAAGACTGAGAAACAAAGATCCAGACGTTCCCTTCTAGCTCTATCTACATCTATGGTTCTATTATGTTGCTGTTACTTTATTATGTTGCTCTCAAACATCCCCAAGACAGCTCTCACTTTCTACCTGGTCAACAGGTAAGACTCCTCAAACGCTCCTGGGATGCCTGGCACTCACTGTTCTAGATTCAGCTCTTCTCTAGAGGGAGAACACTTAGAGGCTTGGCCCAAAGGACACAGACTGAGGACTTTGCCCTCAAAGAAGCTCACAATCTATGGGGAGGTGGAGGAAGATATGGATGAGGAGGAGAAGAAAGGCAGAACAAAGAGGAGAGAGGGTATACGATAAAGCTAAAGGCATAAAAACAGATCTAACCCCCAGTGTGTGTGTGTGTGTGTGTATCTGTGTGTCTGTGAGAGAGAGAGAGGAAAAATAGAGAAAAGAGAAAGTGAGAAACAGAAAGAATATAGAAAATGAAGAATGAGAGTAAAGAATGAAGAGAAAGAATGAGTACAGAGAATGGAGAGACAAAAAGAGGTGGGGGAGGGAGAGTAGAGAAAAGAGAATAAGACAGAAAGAATATGGAGAGTGGAGAGAATGGGGGGAGGAACAGAGGGAGAGAGAGAAAAGAGAGAGGGGGAAGAAAGAGGGAGGAGAGGAGAGAGAGAAAGAGAAAGGGGGGAAAGGGGAGGGAGAGAAAGGGAAAGGGGAAGAGGTAGGGGGGAGAGAGAATGAGAAAGGGGGAAGAGAGAGAGAAAGAGAGTGAGAGAGAGAGAGAGAGAGAAAGAGAGAATGAGAATACCGAGAATGGAGACAGACAGAAAGAATACAAAAAATAGAGAGTAGAGAAAGGAGAGAGAAAATAAGAGTAAAGAAAGGAGAGAGACAGACAGACAGACACAGA